TGAAGGTTATGTTAACCAGTTTGATGAGAGTATTTCAAAATGTATATGAAAACAGCACACTGTGCCCCATGATTGCATTAATGTACACAGTTATGCTATAAGAAATTTTTTAAAAAGCCAATCTCAAAGGTTACTAAATGCCTTGTGATTCTTTTTTGTTATTATTATTATTGTTTTAGGTTAATTGAGGGTACAAAGAATTAGGTTACAATGTTTGCATTTGTTAGGTAGAGTCCCACTTATAATGTGTCCCTCCTCCAAGAGGTGTGCCATATACCCTAACATTGTGCCAATTAAGTGGAAGCACATCCATTCCTCCCCCTCCTCCCCTCTCCCTGCTCCCTCATTCTTGCACCACCTACCTTGAATTGATTCAAGTTTTTCTCTTATGTAGGTGTCTGTTAGATCATCTCCTGGCTTCATATTAGGACTGGATTCTTGTTTCTTCATTCTTCTGATACTTTACTAAGAAGAATGTGTTTCAACTCCATCTAGGTAAATACAAAAGATGTAAAGTCTCCATCTTTTCTTATGGCTGAATAGTATTCCATGGTATATATATATATATATATACCACAGTTTGTTAATCCATTCCTGGCTTGTTGGGCCTTTAGGTTGTTTCCACAGTTGGTGATTGTAAATGAGCTGCAATAAACAGTCTAGTGCAAATGTCCTAATGATAAAATGACATTTTTTCTTCTGGGTGGCTGCCTAGTAAAGGGATCCCTAGTAAAGGGATCAAATGGGAGGTCTAATTTGAGTTCTTTGAGGATTCTGCATACTCCTTTCCAAAAAGATTGTATTGGTTTGCAGTCCCACCAGCAGTGTAAAAGTGTTCCTTTTTCTCCACATCTATGTCAGCATATGCAGCTTTGAGATTTTGTGAGCTAGTCTCACTAGGGGTAGATGATATCCCAGGGTGGTTTTGATTTGCAGTGCTCTGATGATCAGGGATGGATTAGAATTTTTTCAAATGCTTGTTAACTATTCCTCTGTCTTCCTCAGAGAAGGTTCTGTTCACATCTTTAGCCCATTCGTAGATGGGATTGTGTGCTCTTTTTCTTGATTAATTTGAGGTCTCTGTAGAGTCTAGTTATCAACCCTTTGTCAGATTCATAACATGCAAATAATATGAACATGAACCCCATTCTGAAGGTTGTCTTTTTGCTTTACTTGTTGCATCCTTAGCTGTGGAGAAGCTTTTCAGCTTAAGTTCCATTGTTAATTTTCTGTTGTCGTGATGGCCACTGAAATCTTTGTCATAAAATCTTTCCCCAGTCCAACAACATCAAGAATTTTTCCACACTTTCTTCTAAGATTTTTATCACTTTCTGTCTTAGGTTTAAATCTTTTTTTTTTTTTTTTTACTGTTTTATATCTGTTTTAATGAAAATAAAAGAGGGAGTAAAAACAGCACATTTATTAGTGGTTCACATACGTGCCATGATGGCAAAAGTGATTCAAACTTTACATAAATAATACACTTAAGACCATTCCACACTCCCTGGTGGTTTGAGCAATGAAGTTTACAAAATTGAAAAATAAGTGACTATTCCCATTAGAGAAAGCACCAAAAACCAGTATTGAAAAGTTAGATGAAAGGATCAATCTCTAACTCCTGGGAGATTTAAATCTTTTATCTACCTTGAGTCAATTTTTTTTAAGTGGTGAAAGGTGTGGATGCAGTTTCAGTCTTTTACATGTGGTTATCCAGTTCTCCCAGCACCATTTGTTGAATAGGGATTCTTTTCCCCAGGGTATGTTTTTGTTTGGTTTATCAAAGATTAGATGGCAAGTAGAGACTGGTTTCAACTCTTGGTTTTCTATTCTGTTCCATATGTCTATGTCTCTATTTTTGTGCCAATAGCCATGCTGTTTTGATTACTGTGGGCTTGTAATATAGCCTGAAGTCTGGTAGGGTGATGCCTCTCACCTAAGAATAGCCTTTTTTTTTTTTTTTTCAGTTTTTTTTTTTTGGCTGGGTCTGTGGGTTTGAACCTGCCACCTCTGGCATATAGGGCCGGCGCCCTACCCTTTGAGCCACAGGCACCACCCTAAGAATAGCCTTGGCTATACAGATTTTTTTTCCATGCAAAACAAAGTAATATTTTTTCCAAATCTTCAAAGTATGATGTTGGCATTTTAATGGGATCACATTGAATGTGTAGATTGCTTTGAGTAGTATAGATATTTTAACAATGTTGATTCTTTTCAGCCAACAAGAGCATAGTATGTTCTTTCTTTCTTTTTTTTGGAGGGGGGGACACCAGAATCAATGATCATCAGCTGCCCAGGTACCAAAAAATTATGCTTCCAAAATCTCTTGATGTCAATTCCAAACGAAGAGTAGGCAAGTTGCCCCAGTTGTGCCACTCACAACAGAAGCCCTTTTTGTACGTTCTTTCATTTGTTAATGTCTTCTGCAATTTATTTTCTTAGGGTTTCAGAATTCTCTTTGAAAAGATCCTTCATGTCTTTTGTTAGGTATATCCCTATGTATTTCATTTTCTTTGAAGCTACTGTGAAGGGAACTGTGTCCATGATGTGCTTCTCAAGTTGGCTATTATTGGCATATACAAACTGATTTGTGGACATTGATTTTATACCCTGAGACATTACTATATTTCCTGTTCACTTCCAGGAGTTTTGTGGTTGAGTCTCTGGGGTTTTCTAAGTATAAGATCATATGATCAGCAAAAAGTGAGAGTTTGACCTCCTCTGCCCCCATTTGGATGCCTTTTATATGAGAAGTCATGCCTGATTGCATTGGCTAGAACTTCCAGCACAGTCTTGAATAATGTGGCAATAGTGGGTATTCTTGTCTGGTTCCAGTTCTAAGTGGTAAAGCTTTCAGTTTTATTCTATTCAGTATGATGTTAGCTGTGGGTTCATCATAGATGGCTTCAATCTGTTTAAGAAATGTGCTACCTATACCTACTTTCTTAAGTGTTCTTAAAAAGGATGCTTAATTTTGTCAACTTCTTTTTCTGCATCTATTGAGAGGATCATATGGTCTTTGTTTTGGCTTCTGTTGATATGGTGAATTACATTTACAGATTTGCATATGTTAAACCAACCTTGGATCCTTTGGATGACGCCTAGTTGATCATGATGTGTAATTTTTTAATGTGTAGCTGCAATCTTTTGGCTAAGATTTTGTTGAGTCTTTTTGCATTGATATACATTAGTGAAATTGGTCTGTAGTTCTCTTTATTTAGGTCTTTTACTGGTTTTAGAATAAAAGTGATGAAGCAAACATCATTGGGGAAGGTTTCCTCCTCCTCAGTGTTTTGGAATAGGATCTGCAGTATAGGTACAAGCTCATCTTTGAAGGTGTGATAGAATTCTGGTGTGAAGTCATCTAGTCCTGGGCTTTCTTTTTTGTTGGAAACTTTTTATTTCTTTTTCAAACTCAGTGCTTGATATTGATCTGTTCAGGAGATCTATTTCTTCTTGATTAATTCTAGGGAAATGGTGTGATTCTAGGTATTGGTCCATTTCCTCCACAATGTCAAATTTCTGGGCATAGAGTTTATGGTAGTAGTCAGAAATAATCTCTTGTATCTCTGTGATACCTGCTGTTATTCTCCCTTTTCATTTCTGATTGAAGTTATTAAAGATTTTACTTTTTTACTTCTAGTTAATTGGGCCAATGGTTTATCAATCTTATTTATTTATCCATAAGATTTATTTATCAATCTTCTTTATTTCAAAGAAGGATCTTTTTGTTTCATTAATTTTCTGAATGATTCCTTTGTTTCCAATTTCATTTATTTCTAATTTATTTTTTGTTATTTCTTTTCTTCTGCTAGGTTTGGGATTGGATTCCTCTTCCTTTTCCTTTTCTTTAAGATGATTCATTGGATTGTTAATGTGTTCTCTTTCTGTTGTTCAGATGTAGGCCTATAATGTGATATATTTCCCTCTTAGGACTGCTTTTGCAGTGTTCCACAGGTTTTGGCAAATTATGTCTTCATTGTTGTTATGCTCATAGAAGTTATTGATTTTCTCTTTTATCTCTTCCTTGACCCATTCAGTGGAAGGTTGTTTAGTTTCCATGCCTTTGTGTGGGGATGGAAATTTTTGTTGGAGTTGATTTCTACTTTTCTTGCCTGGTGGTCTGAGAAGATACAATGTATAATGTCAATTCTTTTGATTTTGTTGAGGTTTGATTTGTGTCCTAGGATATGATCTTTTTTGGAGAATATTCCATGGGCTAACAAGAAGAATATATATTCCTTAGCTTTGGGATGGTGTGTTCTGTGTATGTCTATTAAGCACAGTTGTGCTAGGTCACATTTAAATCTCTAGTATCTTTGTTTAGTTTTTCTTGTTAGAGGATCTGTCCAACTCTGTAAGAGGAGTGTTAAAGTCCCCTACTATTATGGTGTTATAGGATATTATATTGCTCAGACCAATTAAGGTCTATTTCATAAATCTGAGAACATTTAAATTGGGTGCATACATTTTTAGAATTGAAATGTCCTCTTGTTGTATTGTTCCCTTGATCAATATGAAGTGTCCATCTTTTTCATTTTTGACTTGAGTTGTTTTAAATAAACTTGTATCTGAAAATAAGACTAAGACCCTTCTTTTCTTCTAATTTCCATTTGCCTGAAATCTTGTTTTCCATCCCTTCATTCTGGGTCTTGCTTTGTCCTTTGAGGCTAGGTGTGCTTCCTGTAGTCTGCATATGGATGGCTTGTGCCTTTTTATCTAACGGGTCGGTGTGTGCCTCTTCATTGGGGAATTCAGTCTATTAGCTTTAATTGAGAGAATTGATAAGTGTGTTGGAGTTCTATTCATCTTATTTTATGAAAGTCCATTGCTTAGTTGTATTTATTTATTTATGTTTTTTGAGATAAAAATCTCACTTCATTGCCCTCAGGAGAGTACTATGGCATCATTGCTCACAGCAACCTCAAACTCTTGAGCTCAAATGATTCTCCTGCCTCAGCCTCTTGAGTAGCTGGGACTAGAGGCACTCACCACAATGCCTGGCTATTTTTTAGATACGGGGTCTCACTTTGGCTCATTCTGGTCTTGAATCTGTGAGCTTAGGCAATCCGCCCATCTTGGCCTCCCAGAGTGCTAGGATTACAGGCATGAGCACCGCCTCTGGCCCTATCTTTTGCATCATTGTGGTAGCAAGGTTTCTCCTTTAGTTTCTGGGTGTTCCTCTTTCAGCTAGCACCATAACTAGACAAACTGATGAAACATCAGAGGACATTGAAGCACAGTACTCTACGGAAGGTGACAAAGTGAGACTCTGTCTCAAAAAAAAAAAAAAAAAAGATTGCCTTGGGGTATAGTAATAGCTCAATGAATTAATAATTTTCAAAAAAGGCCCAGGGAGAGGAAAGCATCTCTTATGAGCTTCATGTCTTGGGAAAAGGCAAGGCTCAGACAGGTCAAGTGAGAATGGATGTGGCATAGTTCCACCAACTGCTCCTGGTGCTTCATTCAGGGAGATGAATTGGATTGGCTCTCAGACCTGGTCTGGTTTAGATTCAGGGACTCCTGTGGAGAGCTCAGCATTTCCCCTTCTCCACTCCATTTACTTGGAACTTACTCTGGACACCTAACTTCAAGAAGCACAGAGGCTAGGAAACAGTGATAGTTGAGCTTGTGTTGTGAAGAATTTAGGCTACTTCAAGCAAAAAAAGGCTTGCCAGAGTATGTGTGGCTGGGAACCCCCAAACTATTCCAGATGAAAAGCAGCTACTCTGTGCTTCTTTTTCTATAGCATCTCAGCCTTGTCCATTTTCCTTTCTCTTCAGAAAAAATCTTTGTGTTCTTCAGTGTAAATTTTTTGGAGGATTTTCTAATTGACTACATACTTCTACTTGTTCTGTAGTCATCAGCTATTGCCAAGAAATGATGTGTAATGAAACATTCCACAACCCCGTGGTTTGCAGTAAGCCTTCATTCCACATGTCTGCAGGTTGACAGCAGTGCCACCGGTCTCTACTGGGATCAACTGGGAAGCTTTTCTCCAAGGTTGTGGGGCTGGCAGCAGTGTGGTTTCACATTTTTTCATTCTGGGGCTCAGGCTGAAGGAGCAGTAGATTCATGGGCACTCTCTTGTCACAGAAGAACATTGTAGAACAAGAGGGTGACTATAAACAGTCACACCTCTTGAGACCTCAGTCAGGTACATTTCCATATCCACCACATTCCATCAGCAAAGCCTCTGATGTCACAGTAAATACATATATTCTGCCTGCTCTAATTAAACTATATGGTATAGAAGAGGGGCTATGGAAGTAGAATTCTAAGATGATTCAGGCTTTGTGCCAAACAGCTATAACTTACAAGGTCTGACAAGTTCGTAAGATCACCCTAAAAAAAGCCGCCTACCTCATTGGTGAATATCACTGTGGTCACCTTTGAAGTGCTTCCCTGGGGAAGCAGTGCACTGACACCAGCACCAAGTCCACCCTTCAAAGCAATTTTGGAATTTTCTTTTTTTTTCTGGAATGACTATCAGAGCTGTCATATGAAAGTCTGGCAAATTAAGTTCGTGAACTTGTCACCATGTGCTTACGTTGGCACCATTGTGCAAAGAGTTAAGTAAGGTTTCATACCCATAGTATGTCAGTGTCTCACAGCTATGTTCATGTCGACATGTGGCAGTGCCTTGCTGAATGGTGCTCATTATTGTTGCTGTGTGTTTTTGTATGCCATATGATGGCCATTCCAGAAAAAGAGTTCCAAAATTGCTCTAAAAGGTGGACTAGGCACTGGTGTCAGTTCATAGCTCCTTAAGGGAAGTACTTCCAAGGTGTCCATAGTGATGGTCAGCAATGAGGTATGTAGCACTTTTCACATGAGTTTGTGAGCTTAGTAGTCTGGTCTGTGCTCAGACTCTGATCTCCCACTCTTGTCTAATCTGCAGCTTCACTTCCTCAAAAGGCAGCTGAGCAGAAGAGCCCCCAGTAAGAGTGGGTCCACAGGCAAGTCTCCCCATGATCACATATCTGGAGTGTGAATCCCAGAAAGTGTGTACATGGCCTGAGGGAATAGAAAATAGAAGGGAATAGATTGCTCTTATTATTCATAAAACTTAACCATGCCTTTGCTTCAAAAAGGAGAGTAAGTCAGTAAAGTCTGTTTGGAGGTACATTTGTTGAAATAGAAGATTACAATTCAAAAGGACTAAAATTATGGATCCCTAAATAGTTGAGTTTTAACACAAATAATTTTGGCTGGTCCTTGCTCTAGTAGACTGATTCCCTCTGCACAAATTTCAGTTACCACAGAATACATAAATATTTGTGGTGTTGGTTCTCCAACATCACAATACAAAAATCAGTCATTACAGTATTTTGACAGAGATTAATTACACAAACATTACTAATTTAGTCCACAAATCATTGGATAAATAGTAGAT